ACTAAACATAAGTTAAATCTTCAAAATGAATTCCACATAATTCAAATAAAAATTTGTAAATGCCCCTCTTAAGTGGAAATCTTAACACACTGTGTATTCATTTAATTTGGAAAGATACAAATAAATGGAAAAATATATCTATTTCCTGGATATAGTTAAGAAGATCAACTATAAGAAAAATGACAATTCTCTCTAATACAGACATAATACAATGACATTTAAAGTCCCCAACGGAAAATACTTTACGAATTCACAAACTGGCAGTAAAAGTCATGTCTTTGAACCAAACGAAATCAACTTTTACTTCTTTTTCCCTCTTCTATTCTTACTCTATTATAGTTTTAACTGCCACCTATATGCTGAGGATTTCCAAATCTGTATCTATAGCTCAGAACTCTCCACTGAGATCCACATTTCTGTCATCTACTTCCTAATGAATATCTACAGCTGGATTCATCATAGACACCTCAAACTCAACACATCTAAAACTGCACTATCTTTCCACGCTCCCTCAAATCTGCTCTGCCTCCAGAATGCTTACAATCCTCAGTTTTCCAGGTCAGAAACCTGGGAATCATCCTATATTCCTCCCATCCCTCATGAGATACCCTGCAGTTAGCCTTCTCCCCTCTAATCCCTTTCAAATCTTAAGTATTACCTCAACTAAACATTTTTTTTATGAGTCTCTACCACCGATATCTCCTATGGCCTACAAAGTACATTCAAACTGTTAAGCATAAAACACAAATGCCTTCATGACCTGGCCCTTAAGTAGAAGAGGCAAAGTTCCCCTTAAAAGAAGAGGGTAATAGAAAAGTTGATTTCATTTAGCACCAAGAGATGAATGACCTCTATAAGCACATCCCACTGTGCTTTATTTTATATTCCTAAGAGTACTCAACTAACAGAAGGCACTGTGTTAGGTACATTGCATACAGTATGTCATTTAATCCTTATAACACTGACAGTTAAGTATTATTTTATTCAGCTGCCAAGGAATGACACTACATATCTACTACTAATCTTTGGATTATTACTTCCAAAACTCTATCCATATCCTACTTTAGATCACAGACCCAACCATCACCAGGTTCTCATGATCCACATCTGACACTAATAATCATTAGGATGAAAAAAAAAAAAAGACAGTAGCAACACTGATTTGAACGGAAGAAGGAAAGTACAGGTACGTCCTATCACCATCTGTTCTGAGATAATAGATGTAAGGCATTGTACAATACCATCAATAAGTTCCATCAATAACTATTCTCCAAAATACACCTTAACAATATGGTTACACTACAAAATACCATTTAACAAAATTATTACCTGGCAATAAGCATAGTTTCCGAGAGCTTTATGGGCTTCATCAATAACCAGGCACTTTATTTCAACAGCAGGACATGCTCCTCTAGAAAGGTCATTTACCATGACCTGAGGTGTAAGAAAAAGGACTCTCTTACTGCACCATA